TTGAAAAAATTCACCTTCGTGGTGGTAAATCGAAGAAAAAGCTTTTTATTTCATATTTCTGGTGTAAAAATATCATCAAGGTGGGGCATCTAATCAAAATGAATAATTCTGGTGAAAAAAATGAATCACGCTAAGGGGCAAATTTAACTGAAAATTTCTGGTGGAAAGTTTGCAACACTGTGGTGAACGTAGAAGCAAGGTTTATTCATTTTTCTGGTGCATAATTTGCAACGTTCTGATGAATGCAAGCTTCATTGAAAATTTATGGTGGTGCATGAAGAGGCAAAGCCTGAAAATTTCATCACAAAGGTGCATGGTGAAACAAACTTCACTGATAATTTTTGGTGCACCGTTCTGGTGAATGGAGGAGCATGCTTTATTGAAAATGTCTGGTGCAAAATTTACATCGCTCTGATAAAAAAAATGAACAGAAAATTTCTGGTGGAAAACGTGCACTGATCTGGTAAATGAATGCACAAGCTTTATTTAAAATTAAGCTATATCGAAAATTTCTGGTGGAAAATCTGCACCGTTTTGTTGAACGGATGGGCAAGCTTTTTGGAATATTTGTGGTCTTAAATTTGCATTCATCTGCTGAATAGAGAAACAAACTTTAATAATAATTTCTGGTGTAAAATTTGCACCATTCTGATGATTGGAGGGAAGCTGCTTTACTGAACATTTATGATGAAAAATCTGAAAATAGGGGCAACCTTTATTTGGTGGAAAACCTGCAACATTCTGATGATATTAGAAGCAAGCTATATTGAAAATGTCTGGTGGAAAATGAAAAAAAGGAAATCTGCACTAATCAGAAGATTACAGAAGCAATCTTTATTGAACATTAATGGTGGAAAATTTGCATCGTTCTGGTCAATTGAAATTTTTAGGTGTAAAATTTTCTGGGGGCAAGTTTGTATAGGTGTAAGATTTGCAACAATCTGCTACATGGAGGGGCAAACTGAATTGATAATTCCTGATGTAAAAATTGCACAGTTCTGGTGAATGGAGGGGCAAGCTTTATTGAACATTTCTGGTAGAAAAAACTACAACGTTTTGGTGAATGGACGGACAACTTAAACTTGACTTCCGAGAAGAACCTCAAGGGTATTGAATTCTGAGGACAGTTCAAAAAAGAAAAGATTTCTGGGGATGATTCCATGAAAATTCTGCGAATAATTTCTAGCGAATTTTGCAAATAGTTCCAAGATCATTTCGAAAAGAATACTGTGAAAATCAAATTTTGAATAAAATTTCGAAGGGATGTTGAGGAAAATTTCAAGCTCATTCTGGGAAGAATTTCTGAAGAATTCAGAGGAAATTCTTCTGAAACTTTAGGGGAATTTCAGTACCAAGGTGTTCTGAGAAAAAAAGGTTGCAAAATATTCCGAGAAGAACCTCAAGGATATTGAATTCTTAGGACAGTTCCAAAATATATCTGGGGAGAATTCATAGAAAATTCTGCGGAAAATTTCTAGTACATCCTGCAGATAGTTCCAAGATAATTTCGAAAAGGATACCGGGAAAATCAAATTTTGAATGAAATTCCAAAGGGATTTTAAGCAAAATTTCAAGCGAATTCCGAGGATAATTTCTAGCTCATTCCGGGAAAAATTTCTGAAACTCTAAAGGAATTTCAGTTTCAAGGTGTTCTGAGAAAAAAAATGAAGAGTTCTAAATATAATTCCAGTGGACTTCTGAGAAGAATTTCAATAAAGCTCTTAGGAGAGTTCTAAAAAAAATCCGAGAAGAACCTCAAGGATATTGCATTCTGAGGACAGTTCCAAAGGATTTCTGGGGAGTATTCCAAGAAAATTCTGCGAATAATTTTTAGTGATGATTCCGAAAAGAATACCGAGAAAATTAAAAATTGATTTAATTCCAAAGGGATTTTGAGGAAAATTTCAAGGGAATACCGATAATTTCTAGCTCATTCAGCGAATTATTCTGGATAATACTGATAAACTGTAAGGAAATTTCAGTTCCAGGATTTTTTTTCCTTTGGCTTGTTTTTTCCGTCGATCTTGTTTTCCGTGCTGAGCACCAATGCTACCGACGTGCCAGGAAGGCAGCTCTCCCACACCTGGACCCTACCTATCGACCCATCAACTCATGAACCGAGGACCAACGGCTTTACTTCCCATCCGAAGGAAGGCGTGATCAGAGATGTTATGCCTCAGAACATCCCGGCGGCGCCGACTGGGATAGAACCCAGGCCTGCTGGGGTGAGAGGTAATCACGCTTACCACTACACTACCGGCGCCGTTCCCAGTTCCAGGATGTTCTGAGTAAAAGTCAAGGAGAGTTCTAAAAATAATTCCAGAGGACTTCTGAGAAGAATTTCAAAAGAACTCATAGAGTTCTAAAAATTTCGAAAAGAACCTCAAGGAATTCTGAGGATGGACTTTTTTGCAACTGTACAAAGTTTAAAGACAGATTTTGGATTCCCTAATTGAAAAGTGGGTATTAGTTTGCCATTGAACCTTGGTCTATTGTTGTCGTACTAAAAATTCATCTAAGAATCTTCTCTGAAAATTTCAAGTCATTTGTTACCGCAATAAATTCGGGTTTGTTCTTTATATCATCTTTACAACATGTTGAATGTTTGGCATCATTTTCTGTCACCCAGACTGGCGGTACTTTGGGACAGAGTTGAAATGCTCAATCCTTCGCACAAGTCGTCATTCCGTTAACAATCCTGTACCCGCTTGTCAAAATAGTTTTGTGTGCATTTGTTTGAATCGTTACATATTTTTTAAACCTTTTTAATGATCTTGGCATTTAGGCCAAAATTTGAAAAAATAGAATGGCTGTCTGAAAGCAGTTTGCACCACCGGAGCAAAAAATAAATAAAATTTGTTAAATTGAACAGTAGAAAAACAGTGGTGGGTGGACAGCACCATCCACCACGCACTTTGGAGTACTCCCCCATCCCCAAATTAAATGCACCAAAGAAAAAACATTGCCCCTCCTTAACAAGATTCCTGTGCACGCTAGTGATTGGAATACGTACATTCCACGATTTTGCGTACGATTTCTTCTTCTGATGATAACGCCCAAACTATAGATACTATAGATTCCATAGACAAACGGAGGTACAAAAAGTTGTTTTGGCAACCATGAAAAATAAATTATCTTACTGGCATCCGTGAAAAAAGTTCATGCCATCATAGAGCTCTTCGTTGTGCCGTTTTGTTTTGTTTCGTGCGTAAAAGTTCAAAATGAAGTGCAAAGCAAATCTTTGCAACAATGTATCGAGGAATATAAATCGGAATATGGAGTGTGGAAAGCGTTTTGTGCTCATAATATTACAATACTTCTCCCTCAAACAACACCATGATGACGTCATGCTCGTTTGACTAGTTAGTGGTGACAGTTCATTTGGCTACATTATACTTTTCCTCCGCTTATCTATGGAATCTATAGTATCTTTAGCACAAACTAAACATAAAGCCTTCCCTTACATAAAAAACGGGACCAGACCAAATTGATCGGATAAGCCATGCCGAAAAAAGCTTACCTAGGTGAAATTTGGAATCGATTGGGTTCTATCGATTGGAAATGTTTTATACAGGTGAGATAGCTTGTGTGGATGGCTGTTGATCACAGACGGCAATACGTGTGAAAATCGATTCTAATACCTATGTTACGGTAGTAACAAACATAACACAAATTTCTTAATATCAGCTGGAAGCGATTGCCGATTCTGTTGCACAGCTGGATTACCGATTAGATTACTCGTTGGAAAATCACTCCCAGTACGTTCAGATGAGAACGTTGCTCATGATAATTCAACTCAGTGCATCCCACCTGGGATGGTTCAGCTGTGAAGGATTTTTGACCATCACTATCGAATCTTTTGGGGATCTTTGCACAGCACCGTACTCAGAGTAGGCGGCATTTGCCACAAAATAGAATTCCCTAGATGCGGAAAAATTGCTTGGATTTTACATAAAAACAAAATGAGCTGTTTATACTTAACGGCGGGATCTTAATTCGTTTAATCGATGTATCGATATATGTAATATGTCGATAATACAGGAATGTTCGAGATTGATTTTAGAATCGTCACTAAGAAGCTGAACAACCACCTACGAACCGACATAATACGGGAGCACAGGTTTAATGAAACTCCTCAAACTCACATGAGGCTAACTACTCTCGCTCAGTGAGTTTAGGTAGCCCTCACCTTGAGTAACTACAGAATTACCATAGCTTCAACACAGTTCCCATAATTTTTTCAGGAAAGATCTGCGACTTTCAAGTTGAGCGGAAATCAGGTGACTGCTGTGAACTTTGGGAAAGTTCTGCAAACGGTTGTGGTAGTTGTGTGAATTTCAGTGAAGATTGTCTGTTTGAAATATGTACTGAATTACCAAGCCAAGAACAATGTAAAAACACTTAGATATATATCATAACAATTAAGGTTGGTAAGTTATTTTAGTAGCTGGAGCACCTAGTGAAAATGAAATGTAATTTATTTTGAATTTTGAACAAATAAGTTAAAAACGTGGTTGTACAAATACTACAGTAGTGAAGGCGAGGGGGGCTGGCACAAAAATGGGAGTTCGTCACCTATTCAACGGCTCAGGCTTTGGATGATTATTTACCGTTTCGCCACGTTCTTCCTGACTTTTGAATGAAGTCGCTTGCATTTTACATGTAAATAATTAAAGTCTTTTTACAATTTGCAGGGAAATGTCGAAGGTAGGGTGGGACAGCCTTTTCAGCATTCTCAAATGCTGGCTCCCTATCCATAATTTGTTTTACGTACGCCTCACCAGTATCTGTGCAGAAAATCAGCTCATTTGTCCAGGTCCTGTGTTGAGCAAATGAGTGAATGATGAATGCGAAGCAAAAATTTTAGAACATTGCTGGAAAATGGGACAGACTAGTGTGCACTTCTCTTAACACAATTTAACCTACGGAGCATGCATTATAAGTTAAACGAATCAATCAGCTCTGACTAGTGGGATAATGATTACATGTTTAATACTTACGCCAACTTGAAGGGCAAGATGTAGATCCTCGATTCGTCCGGTTCCGTCATAAAATGAAGAAGCATTGCTGCTATCGGCAGCAAGCAGTAGAAAACACACGTCAAATGGGTGAACATCAATTCCCAGTAGGTAAACTGATAACCCCAATAGGTTGCCCAAAGATTGACTTCCTTTTCACGTGGCTCTTTTCCTGTGTGAATTAAAGTTCATATCTCAACCACTCCCTCGCTAATCTTCAAAAATAACACAAACTTACGATCAAACAGCTCCTTCAAAGTGTCCAACAGTTGCTTCAGTTGCTTGCGTTTCGAAATCAGAATACAACACTTGAGCAGTCCTCCGAAGCGGGATGGCGTCGGGCAGATGCCTTCGAATGCCGGTTGCAAATCACCCTCGCCGATTTTTATCCACGCATGCTTTCCCTCCCAATAGATCAGCATCACCTGGGACCAGTAGTGAAAGAACAACACCAGAAACATGCCCCAGTGGGCGAAACGCTCATCGCCAGGGTAGTAACCAAGTCCTCGGAACAACTTTTTCTGCAACTGGAAAGGCCGATACTGGACGTCACCGTCCGCAAAAGCGATTAATTTACGAGGCATTCTGTTGCCTGCATAGAACCTTGTGGCAAAAAAAAACTGGGTTTGTGTGACAAATTGTGACTCTTTTATAGCAGTGACCATCATAAGGACGGATAAAGTTAACCGTTGACATGGTTTCCAAGTGAGGGTAAACTAACCCCCTATCACTATGCTTTGGCTATTTGCAAATTGTGAGAAAATCTGTCAACCAACAGGTTGCAACTTGTTGACCAGTGATTAATAACGGTTCGGGAAGTCAACTTGGAAGTGCAGGCACTCCGGTTGGATGCCGTGATTCAAGGGTATGAATTATGTAGAATGGATGGGGTAGTTAATTGATTGCACAATACTGTTTCTGTGAACAGGAAAGGGGTATCTTTGCTAAGGTTAACTATTTGTTAATATTTTATGAATTATCGGAGGATTGCTAAATTGAACTAAAGATTTTTTTTAGTTTGTATCTACACACTTTGAAAAAAATCAACTAAATTTAGGTAATACCGACACATACGAGCGTCAATTTTGACATAAAATTGAGTCAAAACAGACGAGAAATTCAGCTCAATTCCTGAGACGAACCAGCGTTCAGCTGAAAGTCTCCTTAATAAAGATAACTAACTAACTAATTCAGCTCAATCAAACGTACTTTTCGTCTAGTAACGAACATTTCAGTCTTGGAGCACTTAATTTTACATAACTTGTATAATCCTTTATGTCCAAGATGGATTCAGTCACGTGTAAAATTTGTTACTTCTAACTGTGTAGGTGATGCGGAATGAATTTTTGTTATCAATGTTGAGCAATCCACGCCTAATTACGATTCTGAAAAATTCGTCTCTGAAAAATTTTATGCAAATCGGAGGCATAAAATTTTGAATATTTGTGTGTTATGGGCAAACATTCACATTTTTCTATAAAAATGGCACCTTGTATTTTTTTTTTCAAAATGGCTTCTTTGTAATTGCTGAGCAAAATGACATCTGAGACAAAGTTGTAGACATTTCGATCAAAAGTGACGTTTTCGTGCAACAATTTTTCTGAAACTTTCAAAGACGACATTTTTTTTTTTTTTTTTTCCTTTGGTTTGTTTTCCGTTGATCTTGTTTTCCGTGCTGAGCACCAATGCTACCGACGCCAGGAAGGCAGCTCCCACACCTGGACCCTACCTATCGACCCATCAACTCATGAACCGGGGACCAACGGCTTTACTTCCCATCCGAAGGAAGGCGTGATCAGAGATGTTATGCCTCAGAACATCCCGGCGGCGCCGACTGGGATTGAACCCAGGCCTGCTGGGGTGAGAGGCAATCACGCTTACCACTACACCACCGGCGCCGCTAAAGACGACATTTTGTAAACAATCGAAAATAGACGAAGATTTGCGAAAATGTGATTGTTCTAAACAAACAATTATGCAATATTTCATGTAAACCGAAGAAGGTCTTGTCAAAATTTCAATTTGTTCTATGCTATTTGACGCTGAACTAATCCATCCATCAAACTGCATCGATATATCACAGTTCCTAATGTTCTTTTTTTTTTAATAAAAAACTGCGGAGCTCTAGGATCAGTTTCATTGATTGACCACTTTTACGGATGTTCTGGACTCACCAGAGGATGGCCCCATGGACATCTGGGTCCATGTTTATGTCATGACCCCAAATTCTTTCTTATATCGCAGTTTCACATGCTTTCGAAAAAAAACCCTTAGAACTCTAGGATCAGTTGCTAGGATTGACCATTTTTAAAGATGTTCCAGATCTTGCAGAGGAGGGGTCCATGCATTCTAGTTACATGTTTATGTCACAACCGCAAATTAATTTATATATGACACTTCCAAGTGTTTTCGAAAAAAAAAACCGTGGAGCTATACCATCAGTTCCATACATTGAGCACTTTTACGGATTTTTCGGATTTTCCGGAGGACGGTCCGATAGCCATCTGGATCCATGTTTATGTCACGATCCCAAATTCATTCTAATATCACAGTTCCTAACGTTTTCAAGAAAACCACGGAGCTCTAGGATCAGTTTCGAGAATTTTCCACTTTCAAAAAACGTTCGTTTAAAAAAACGTTCGTTTAAAAAAACGTTCGTTTAAAAAAACGAGGAGCTCTAGGATCAGATACGGATGTTCCGGATCTTCCGCTGGACAGTCCCATGGCCATCTGGGTCCATGACCCAAATTCATTCTAATATCACAAATCCTAATGTTAAAAAAAAACGTGGAGCTCTAGGATCAGTTTCATGGATTGTCGACTTTTACGGATGTTCCGGATCTTCCGGAGGACGTTCCCATTGCTATCTAGGTACATGTTTATGTCGCGACCCCAAATATTTTTTAAATCACATTTCCCTAATGTTTAAAAAAAAACCGCAGAGCTCTAGGATCATGTTCATGGATTGACCACTTTCACGGATGTTCCGGATTTTTCGAGGACCGTTCCGTTGTCTACAGGATCCATATATAGGAACCATGACTGTATTCTGGCTAATTGTGAACAGTTGTGCCCATTAATCTAAATTACATATCTTGCTCCACTTGCAAAACCCTACAAACACACATTTCAAAAAAACGTGTAACAACTCTTTTCGCTATTTAAAAAAGTAGACGACTATATTTTCAATCTTTTGCAATCAAAACTATCTACAAACCCTAGGAATTCTAAAGGTACCACAATTGTTGAAATTCATTAAGAAATGGCTAAGTTATGCCATTGCAAACTTGCCGTTACACGTTTTTCGGAGGCATCATATTCGGAGTGTTAATGCTCCAGGGGGCGCCTGTGGATGGATTTTGGCATTTGAATCAGAGTATAAATTGCCAAGGTTCAACAACTATCGAATGTGAACAGAATCCCGATCTCCAAGGTCCTCTCCTAATCCTAATCTTCCAACAAAAAATTTTGCCCCTGTAACCTGGAGCATGTTTTGTCTAACTTCAACAACGACGATATCATGGCTGCGGAAAGCTCCCACGAACCTCCTACTTAGCTAACAATCCACAGGCATTAAAAACCTGCATCTATATAACTACATCGTAACGAGATCTGTGTGGCTACCACTGTTCTGTTGTCCTCTTCTGGAAAATTTTATCACTTACCAAGCAAAAAGCTTCCAATATTTCTCACCTGAAAGCTTCGGTGCACGGCCGTTCAATCTCACTCACAGGGAGAGTAACTTCTACTCAGATGAAAGAGAAATTTCTCAAAACGTAGGTTACTCAGCGTTGAATGACCCGAGAGGGGCATTTTTTAAATAATTTGGTTTTTCTAAATTTCACTGAAATAAGCTAAGAGTGTCACAGTAACCGTTGGTTGTCAGGATAAGTTCACATTATGGCTGTATCGGAGTAAGCACGTCGAAATTCGATCCTGCACGCTCAAAACGAACATATGGTTATGGACGAAGAAACAAACGTACTGTCTGTCAGTTTTCAAGCAAATTCCTGGGCAGGAATTTTATACCTCGGATGACCGGAAGAGTGCCTCGAGAGAATGTAAAATCAAAAAAAAGTCGTACTTCCCCAAAAAGTTCACAGCCAATCATACCAACTCAGCGACTGAGATTAATTGACTCCGAGAATTTTTTTTTTTTCATATGAAATTTACTCATATTTGGAACATTACAGTTACTCACAAGCTATGAGTAACTGCAGTTTATTCCAGATCTGAGTAAATTTCGTATGGAAAGAAAATTCTCTGACTTAATTAATCTCAGTCGCTGAGTTGGTATGATTGGCCGTGTTCATTGTCTGGCAAGCAATCCGCAGTTGTGGGCTGAAAAGCGAAACTTTCGTTACTTCTTTGAACAAGAAATAGCATATTTAACAAGAGGAGTGCCTACGGAAGATACTACTGGAGCAGCATGAGGTAGATTGCCTATTCTGGCCGGGAAGCGCACGCTGCCACTACTTAAATTCCACCGAACAGTGGTTCAGCGAAAATGGCGTCACAGTGATTCCCTAGGAGATAAATCCGGCCAATACTCCGGAACTAAGGCCAATAGTCGAATCCAATAGAAACTAAGCGATTGTTTCACCCTCTGGCGGTGAATAGGGTAACCCTCAAAAGAGTGATGAGGGTGGAAATTTTCACCGTGAAGCATAGGAAGAGGAAAATATTTTCACCAGAGTTGATAATAGAAGAGTTACGCAGACTGAAACCAAAATCTACCTATCGAACTTTCAAACCGTCTACCAATCGAGCATAGTAGACAAACTGACTCTGTTGCGTGGGAAATATTGTTATCGAAACTAGAGGAAATTTTCACAACCCAGGTGAAGTCATCCGAGGTGTATACAAAAAAAGGTTACCAAAATAAAAATAAATGCCCATTGATCGACATCAGTGTTGCAAGCTTCACTCTGCGTAACTCTTCTATTTTCAACTCTGATTTTCACCTTTCCTGATTAATTTATCCACCGCAGGTGCTTGAAATCATCATCTACGGGCAGCCAAAACATTGGGAACAGGGCTCATGCAAAAGATGGTGGTTCATCTACGAAGAAAAGTTTGATGGAAGGAAGACTGAAACAACGGTCTTACTATAAGCATAATACAAGCGCCATCTTATGGTCTTTTTAAGAAAAGAAAAGTCGTTTAAACTTGCCATTCAAATATATTGAATCAGGCCGTAATTATCGTCGGTTGAACGTTCTTCATTTATTTTATTTTATGCGGTTCCTGCTAATGCGGTTATGTCCTGCTAAATCAGGACGGATGGTATCCAAGGGTGATACGGTCAAAATTTGGTCAATATCAACTTGACGTATTTCTTTCAATTTTGCATTTAAAAAACCTGAACACCCCTCATTTTGAAGGTGTGTGTGTGTAGAATGTTGCTCCTATTTTGATTTTGGAATTCACTCTTCAGTTGTCAAAATGCCGTCCAAGCAAGAAGAGCAGCGTATTAAAATTTTGCTCGCGCATCGCGAAAATCCGAGCTACTCGCACGCAAAGTTGGCAAAATCGCTAAAAGTTGCCAAATCAACCGTTACAAATGTAATTAAAGTGTTTGGGG